GGAAAATCAATAAAAATTCAAATTTCGCGCTCTTTTACCGGCAGTTGGCCTAGAAAACTCACACCTGGCCGCTAGGCCACCAGATACAACTTTGACTTTTCGATGCCGTTTTTCTCAATGAAGGAATTTTTTTGAATTTTTTCTTTATTTTTATGGGAATCCACATGGATTTCTGCACAAAATAAAGCAATAAAATTTTCCACCGCACACCACCTTTAACTCAAAAAATGTTTGTCATGATCACTAACATTTTATCAGTTGACATGATTTTGATATCTTTCATGAAAACTGAAATAATTGAGCTAAAATAGCAGCATGTCTGTTTTCCTGCATTTCACTGTTTTTAGGCTGGTCTAGTTTCAGATGTTTTAATTCAAATAATCAATTTCGAAAACCTCAGGGTCAGTATCCGAAAGTCAGAGTCCCTTTACATACAATCCATGAAACCCATGACGTATTAATTTTTCTCCCGCTTCAGACTAAAGGGTAAAAAAGAATATCGTATCGGTTTCCTTTTTTTCCCGCTATTTCCTCCTTCCGTATCGTTTATCATCTATCAATTATCATCAATGATACGTGTCACAACACCTGATGTTTTATGTATTTGTACTAACCCAAAAAAAGGTGTGAGTTTTTATTCAAATTTGACGAGGAGGAAGTGAAATTCAGAGGAATGGTCAGCAAAAGGTCGTTTGTTCCTCAACGATGTGACCCAAATTTTAAGGGGATTTGTATTTGGGTGTGTTTAGCATTATCAGACAGACATGAAGCAGCTTTTCAATAGTGTTTGTACTTTTTTCTGTGTATCACACTCTTTTTATGGGGTTTTCCTTAATGGTGAAATGCGACGTTGAATGATGATTCAGGAAGAATGGGGTTAGCCCCAGCAGGTAGCAGGAATGAAAAGTTCAATCCCAACACAAACCACTTTTACGTCTTCCGGGTTGCGTTCAAAATTAGAATTTTAAATTGGAATTGGTAAATTGGAAAATGTCAGACAAGTATTTTCAATTATAGACTCTGCAAATTGAATTCAAAATTTTCCTTCGAAAATTGAAAATTTGAAAAATTGAAAAAAAAACGAAATTACAAAGATAAATCATTGAGAAGATTGAAATCTTCTAGTAAGTGTCAATCACAAAAAACAGCTCCACATTCTTCAAGGATTACTGTAAAAAATTGGAGACCGGATCAAGTTGAAAAGACAGTTGCACTTGTCAAATTAGTAGGGCCGCCGACAAAAATACCTTATTTTTCACACGTCAAGGTGTCAGAATCAACGGGACCTTTGTCTTGATTTAATTCGAATCAAATTAGAATTCTTCTTCTTTTTTCCCGCCAAAGAATCATCAAGTAAAGTTCACTTCTCCAATCCGGACAAATGTCTCATCGCGATCTTGTTAACAAAAAAGGGGCGGATCGAGTATAAAAGACCCAGTCTCGACAGGGTGTCTTCACCTCAGTAGAGCTCCTCTCTATTCTATGTTGACCGTCTTTTAAGAAAGACGCCCAGACATTTATTATTCCCTTTTTTCCGAAACAAGCGTTAGTCGTTCAAATTTCCAAAGTTAGTCTTATCCCCTCCGACGGTCACCAGTCTGACCTGTATAGTGAGCGTGTTCCGCCTCATTTCTTCACACTTTACTCGAACTTCTCCTTCTCCCTCATTTTTTTCTTATTTCGCTCTGAAAGAGAACCAAGAAACTATTCAAAGAACCAAGAGAACATCCTAGACAGTGATTTCTGTGTTTTAGTGATTTCTATCTATTAGCCCTATCTAATTAACTGAAGTTTCGAAGGAGGCAAAACGTGAGAGGGGGGAATCAGGGTCAAGCCAATCCACAGTTTATTGTCCATATCGACCAGTCTGCATGACAAGTAAGCTCATATTTTTTACCCCAGTTGTTTTGTTGTTGTTTTGGAGTGGAGTTTCTTATCATTCTGTTGATAGTGATCTTCAAAGTTTTGAATTTTTTCTGATTATCAGGTTGTAACCTTCATAACTGTTTCTTCTTTGACTTCATAATTTTGAAGCTGTGTAGCATTAAATGTTCACAGTAAAAAACCATTTTCTGTCTTTCGGATTTTTCCATATTTCAAGATTACTGAAAAATCTAATCTTTTGTTTCTAATAGACTAAAGTGAGCTTTAGACCTTATTTCTCCTGGTTTTATTTCAATTTTGACCATAAACGCATCTAGTTTGAAATTCTGAATTTTCCCGCAATTACACTTTGTAGGTTACCCCATTTTTAAATCTTCTCCTATTTCAATTTCGCTTTCAAAATGGATGTTATCTTGAAAAATCAAAGATCCTCATTGGTGCTTTTTGTTTAGAAAAAGTACGGATCCTAAAAAGGACATCGCGATAGATGTATTCTGAGAAAAACATTTTTATGGGCGGAGCATGTCCGCAAAATTGACCTCGTCTTGAGGGAGGCGAAACCGTACGAAGTTTTTAGGATCAAAAGTGAAACTCTTTCCCACTCCACTAATCTTGACACACACAGTCTTGTAACAAATTATCATCCTTTCTCTTCCACTCTATCAATCAAAAGTGGATCATCATATATCCAATTTTATCTCTTTTTTTAATCACTTAGTTCTTCTGACCGATTCTTGATGTTCTAATCTTGCAGAATGGCGTCTCAAGCTTGCCTAAAGGCGTTCATCGTGTTAATCGGATTAGTCAGTCTAGCCAGATCAGCGGTGAGTGAAAAAAAACGCCTTTGATGGACAAAAAAAAATCAAAACTGTCACTTTCCAGTACATTGCCAACGACGTCGTTTCGGATTATGCAGAGGTCAAAGAATTACTGGCTGCTTTCTACAGGAAACACGCGAAAAAATACGGACACGATTATGTATGTGGAACACTTTGACCGATATGACTAATAATATACCTATTTTAGGATCCTGTCGCCATTCAAGCTATTGCTGAAAACATGGACAAGGCAGTAAAGGATGACAAGACGGAAGCCACAGTCAATAGGAAGTTGTGGAATGAGGTTTTTGAAAATGACATTATTCTGACTCTTCCTCAAGCTGAAGCTCTCTTGACTGAATCGAGTAGGATCATCATATCCCAAACATGAAATTCTGAAATTTTGGTTTCCAGACACGCCACGACCAAAACGACAAGCTCATCCAGACCGACGAAATTTCTGGCCAAACCTCACGATTTCCTACGAGTTCTACGGCGGAGAGGAGAACTGGCGTCAACTCATCAGAAGCGCTATTCGTCACGTTGAACAAAACGTGTGCTTCAGATTCAAAGAGAACGGAGGAGATCGTGATGGTTTGAGATACTACAGAGGAAATGGATGCTGGTCTAATGTTGGAAGAGTTGGAGGACGACAATTGGTTTCAATTGGTTATGGATGTGATAGTGTATGTTAAATAACTTTTTTTGAATTCCCATTTTTTTGAATTTCCAGCTCGGAATCGTCTCCCATGAAACGCTCCACGCTTTGGGACTTTGGCATGAGCAATCTAGAGATGATCGTGACAACTACATTAGTATTGTGGCTGACAAAATTACTAGAGTGAGTTTCTGAAAAAATTGATTGAAAAATAGCAAGTTTTGTAGGGAACCGAAGGAAATTTCGCTAAACGAACACCTGCAAACAGCGATAATCTTGGTGAGTTGGTATTTTTGATTTGAATATGTAGAGTACATATTAAAAATATATTTCAGGACAACCTTACGATTTGGGATCTGTCATGCACTACGGAGCCAAAGCTTTCTCTTACGACTGGTCCAGCGATACGATCAAAACTAGAGATTGGAGATACCAGAACACAATTGGACAGAGAGATGGACTTTCGTTCAAGGATGCCAAGATGATTAACACCAGATATTGCAGTAGTGAGTTTTTTTTTTTTTGAAAAACTTGAAATATCAAGTTCCACCATTTTAGACATCTGCCAACGCACGATTCCATGCCTCAATGAGGGCTACACCGACCCAAACAACTGCAGCAAGTGTCGTTGCCCAGCCGGATACGGTGGTACTTATTGTGAAACCGTTGAGTACAGTGAGTGATCTACTTTTTGAACCCGATTTAATTGTTTTGATGATCAGCTGCTTGCGGAGGATCATTGACTGCTTCGTCGTCGTATCAAAAGATTGAGAGCGGTATTGTGCAAGCCGACGCGAATTGCGTCTGGCGAATTAGAGTAAGTTGGAGAAGCATACAAGCGGATAATTTGTAATTGATCTGTTCAGAATCCTGGAGGAAACGTCGAAGTCGTTTTTGACAAAGTCAACTTTCAATGTTCGGATCCATGCCAAAGCTATGTTGAGGTTAAGTATCTATCGCAAAAGACATCGACAGGTAGGCGTGAAAGTTTTTTGCTGACAGAGGGACCAATTGAGCTTACAGGAGCCCGACTCTGCTGCAGTTTGCCATCCGTTATCCGATCGGAAGGTGATGACGTCATTATCATCTACAGAGGAACACCGAACACCGCCTATGGATGGAAAGGATTCACGTTGAGATACAGAGCGCGTATGTTGTCCAATGAATAATTTTATAGCAAATGAAAATTTTAAAATCGACTGTTTTGTTGGTTTTTATAGTTTCAGGCTGGAAAAATATATTGAAAAAAAGTAATTTCAGTCGGAGGAACGCCAATCACATCAGTTGCCACTGCTCGCCCAACCGCTGCTACCACGACTCGACCATACTGGACACGAACGGCAAGTGGATGGATTCACATCCAACACCCACCACTTTACACACCCAACGGCAATATCTATACCTCGGACGAGCAATCGCGGGAGCTCACGGACACCTCGACCGAGGAGTTCTATGATCCGAGCACTCTATCATCTTCTCCTTCAGCCTCACCAGCACAGCTTCTTCTTCCAGCAGATGTTGTCTCCTCCTCAGAGAGACCACCATTTGCACCACAAGAGCATGATCTATCGCAACTATCCCAAAACAATGCTTTAGTGAGAATCTATCCTATTTTTCTTCATTTTTTTCCACTTACTTTCCGAATTTTTCAACACCTAACTTATTTTTTCCCCTAAAAATTATTTCCTGCATGATTTTTTTCTTTCCAGAAGTTTCAACATCTAACAAGGTCATTTTCAGACTCGTCCTACGCCGACGACGACAGTTTATCCAGGTTCAGCTTCGTGGAGTAATTGGGGAGAATGGTCCGCATGCTCCCAGCCATGTGGAGGATGTGGAACCAGAACTCGAGTGAGAGCATGTTACGGTGGAAATCAAGTTTGCGTGTAAGTAGCCAAAAAAATCAAAAAACATAAACACAAAGCGTTACAGAGGAAGCAATTTGGATCGACAAAGTTGCAATACGCAAGTTTGCGCTAAGCCGAAAAAAGGAATGATCTGCAATGGACGTCTTCTACTTCCGTGCGACTTGCTTGCCAAGCTCAACTTTGGATCCAACAACTACTTGAACCCGAAATTAAAGCAATCCGGATTTGCGCGTTGTAAGTCGCGTGTCGTCATATGAAATTGTCGTGTTTTGACATGTGACCAAACTATACGATTATAAAATTTCTTGTCTCTCTTGCAGCCAGCACTCTCCCACTGCCACGTATCTCACAACGTAAGCCAGTACTTCGTCATGAGTGAGTTTCTATTTTATTTCGAGAGAGGGTTTGATTCAAAATATCCCAAAATATTTCAGATTGGAAGTTCATCCACCAACCGAGCGTTTCCTCTCCTCTTCAGTCCGCCGAGTGAAAAGACAAACAGCAACCAGATTCTGTGAAAAGTAGGTTAAAAGAAATGAATCTACCTTTAATCATTACTTCTAATTTCTAGACGCTTCATTTACCAATGCCCAACTGCTCTTCTCACCATCCAAATGGAATACAAGGAGCCAGCTCAAGGAGCCAATGATGCTTATTTCGTAAGCCACGCCTCCTCCTGTTAACTAACCCAAAATTTTTTTTCCAGCAACAATACCCTGAATGCTGCTCCGGTTACACGCCAAGACGCGGAGTCTGCTACAAAAACTAATCTAAAGTTTATTTTCCGGTTTTTCTTCTTCTATTCAGTTTGCCTTTGTTTTCAAACCCGTTTGATATTGCTCATGATCTAATTCTCCAGCCGCTTTCGTCTCATTCGTTTTGCTGATAGACAGTTTTTTCATTGTTTTGTGATTTTTTGTCTCTACTTTCCCACTCTCACGAACCTGCTCAATTTTCAATGTTTCACCTTTGGAGTTAATAAGACCGTAATAAAGATTAATATTGTTCTAAATAATTTTTTTGGCTCTATTCCAGTTAAGTGAGTTCAAAAAAATGAGACTTGAAAAAATAGGAGAGTTTAGAAAAAGAATAAAAGACGCATCGCCACAAATGGAAGGTGTTCTGTAATAGTCATTTTTCCGTTAACTTTTCATACAGGTAGCCAGGCCTCACCTTCAAAAAGCGTTCGCTATCTTTTGTACTCCTGGGAGCGGCTCATTGAAAATACGACTAGAAAAACCAATAAGAGTGGATTGGAATTAATGGAAAGCTATCTGCGAAGTAATCGAAATTGGGAAATACGAACTTTATACTTATTTTGAGAAAACAAAAAAAAAGCAGCGAAAAACATAGCAATTGGGAAGTTTGTTGCAGTTTGTCGCAAAACATCATTTCTGATGATGCCCAACGAATAGTCAAGCATAATTTAATGAGGCTATTGACCATTTATTTATCCCACAATTGCTGCAATAAGAATACTAGAACCTTGATAAAAGAGCGAACAAAATCCGTGACAAAAAACTGGGTTTTCTAACCATTTTTGCGCAGTTAAAAAGCCGCATAGGCAGCATAGACCAATGAGAAACGCAAAAACCAATTCTTTAGTTGAATTTTGGCCATTTTGACCGTTTTCAGGAGTCTGGAGTTCGGCTGTCAAGTTGCCGATCACATTGAAACTTTTGAAAATGTAAAACAGACATAGATTGAAAACTTTGCTTTTACAAAATTTTTTGAAAATTCCAATTGTTTCAGATATTCACCAATTCTTAAAAGATACCTGTTTTTTATTCACGTTTTCTGTTCCAGTTCAAAAACGAGCCAAAAGAGGTGCCGCTCAGAAATAAGCAAATAGCTGAAGAACTGGGAATTTACAAAAAATACTGTGAATACAAAGTTTTCAATCTAGGTCTTTCTTACACCCTTTAAAATTATTAAAGGTATCGAACACTTGACAACAAAGATCAGCTGCTGGAAAATTTTCGAAAGACGTAATTCGACTAGATATCCTAAATGGATTGACTCCCTACCTTTAGCGGAATATTTTTGCTGAATAGTGAGGTTTAATTTTTGCTTACTCATCGAAATATTTTCTTCCCCATTTTCCCAATATGTTCCAAACCTAATACGACTCATTACCATGAGAATACATTAGTCTAAACACGACGTTTCATTTCTATTCAAATCGAGCAAAAGAGAGGAAGGCGACAGAAGCAAACGATGCGGAAACCCTGACAAGACAACATTACAAACAATACGAAACAAAAATTCGGGGAGAACCGTTTGCAAAATAACACGGCGTTGGTACCCGCGACGTGGTGAGTGGGTAAAGTATAGTGGGAAAAAAGTAAAGTCTTAGAGGAAGATCGATGATAAGTGAAAGCTATACCATGTCAAAATTTGGATGGGGCTAGGTGAATGATAATGGGTTATTACAAAATAAGTGAAAAGAGGGCAAACAAAGTGATGAAAGCGAGGTGGAACTGTTGGAACACTCCGTTTGTACTCCTTTTACCCCATCCGGCGTTGCAGTATTTGTCGTTCTTGCAAATACATTCTTTGATTTCCAGTTTTTCGTGTAACCTGGAAAAAGCAACATTATTGTATTGCCGGCTTCACTTCAATATAATTCAAAACTTGTAATTTTCCACTACCCGTTTGGTTATTTTTATATTGAAAAAAAAATGAACATTTTCAATTGAAAATACAATGCAGTACCACCCAAAAGTTGATTAATGTTTTTTCAATTTCTAATGGGAACTCGACAGGTCTGCCGCTAGATACCAATTAAGTGGGTTTATTTAATTTGGTTGAGTTTTCACAGAAAAGGTGATTTGAAAGTTCAAGTTCAAATATTAATTTTCAGTTCTGTGAATTCAATTTTTTTGAAGGACAATTTGAGGGAATTCAGGGGACTATCAGCCGTCAGCTAACTTTCCAACAGCGTATCTCAGCCAATAGGTGCTCTATAATCTTAAAACTTGTCCCTTGAGTCTAACTTCTCAAAGGGAAAATATTGAAAAATCGTCTCCAAGTGATTACTGAAAGTTCTAGCTTTATGAAAAATTATCACTTTCTTTTCACAAACTATGATTAAAAATTTTTTTGTCTGTCAAATGCTTCCAATCGATTTTCCCGGGTCAATTAATCCGTAATTCCCCACTTACATTTCACAAGAATGATCATTCTTCTTCTCCAACTCGGGCACGTTTATGGCTCCAAAATGCTCGGCACACCCACGCACAACAAACGAATTTCCGGCGTTTCTATCCAGAATCGACAGTGTTTGACAGTACTTGTAGGTACACTTCTGCTTCTTCAGTTTTGTTTTGTTCCTGGCAGAATGGCAATCGGTGGTGACGGCGTCTAAATTAAGAGTTTGGATCATACGTTAAAAATGAAAACGCTTACCGACTGGAAAAGAAGTTCTTCTCATTTCTAGAAGATTCCGAATGGATCTTCTCATTTCTGGCTTCACTTTGTCAATCGGCGTTGCACAATAGTAGCACCAATGATCGTCATCATCAAATCCATCAGTGTCATCCTCGCTTCTTCGGGAGCTGATCTCAGTAACTGGAAAATTTCTCTACTAATGAGAAAATGCATATTTTTTTAACTAGAAAAACTTACATGGTTGAGATCTCAGAGCCAAAGCTTGCGTTTTCTCCTTGGCTGGAGTACTCTTTCTACTCCATGGAACCACCGGTCCTCTTAATTCGCTCGGCAACTCATCGTTCTCAGAACTTCCACCATCCAGCTGCACCCCTAGTTGGCTGCTCGAATACTTGACTCCTCTCTGCTCGGCCTGTTGTTTCATTTCCATCTCGAAATTTCGCAATTCCTGTTGTTTCAGCTGTAGAAATGATGTTTTTGATGAAAACACTTTTTGACTGTTTCCATCGCCAACCAAGCGGAAAAGTTGCTATAATCTGTCGCGAAGGACATAACTACCACTCAAACTAAATCAATTTTTCAAGCGTACAACCGGTTTTGATGGGGTCTGGAAATGGCAAGCATACTTGTGAAATTCCGGGCCGGACCGGGCCTGAGGAAATTTTCAAGGCCCGGTGTCAAAAATTCTGTTTGAGCCAAATTTTGAGCTCTCAATATAATTTTTTTCTATTTTTTTTTTCGTATTTTGGATTGTTTGTCTGTCTGATCAAAAAAGATCGAAAAACTCGAAAAAAAATTTTTTGGTCGAAAAAAATCACATAAGGGCCCCCCTTATGTGTTTTTTGAAAATTTCGAAACTAGTGAAATGACGGGCCCGCCGGGCCGGGCCGGGCCTCCGAAATTCCGGAAAAAGCCCGGCCCGGCCCGTTACAAGTATGATGGCAAGGACTTGAGAGAAATTGGAATGGAGGTGATGGAGTAGAAATCATTAATTATGGAACGTTGGTCGTTTATTTAATGAAAATTGCAGTTTTTTACAAAATTCCCTTGCAAATTTTCAAAAGGAGCGCTTGTAATTTTTTCAAATTTACATTTTGGCGCCAAAAATGCATTCAAATTAATTTGAATTGCGTACTAAAACATCAACATAAATGCGTCACATTGGATAAAGGCTCTCATAATCAACTTTTTTTCGAATTTTAGAATTTTTACTAACCTGCTGCAGATATTTCGCTTCATCTTCTTCCGTGTAAATTCTTCTCCTTCCGCTAGCGACGATCAAAAGGGCTGTGAAAGCCCAGACACTCAAAATCCGCATCCGGTGGTTAGATAACTGTAGAGGCTGTAAATATGTCAAAAATTGCGACTGTTTTCAGCGGATCAATAGAAATACAGAGAGAGAGAGAGAGAGACACACGGCATTCCGCCCACTTCCAACTGCGGGTGGGGCGCGCCCCATCTATTTTTCCCTCCCTCTACCTCTTCTTCCTCACTAGTTGGACTGTCTGCGTCTCAATCCAGAGCGTACTGTCTTGATGTATCCTTACCAATTTCCTTTCCAACTGCGAAAACGAATAATGGTCGTCACAATTCGACACATACCGCGGTTGGTGTATGTATGAAATTCCGATATGTATGCGTTGCGGGCGGACGAAATTTGCATGTACCTAAATGCGAAAAATGGCATTAAACGATTTTCAAAGGATCGAGTTGTGTTGCAAACACGAGAGTGTTATTGATACGGAAATCGTAAAATCGGTTTTATGGTTTTGAATTCAAAACAATAAGGTCGACGAAGTTTCTAGGTGCGGTAGAATTTTGAAATCGGGAATTTGGGAAAATAATAAAGTAAATTGCGGTGGATATATGATAAAGGTGCTTTTGGAGCAGCAAGTTCACACAGGTTTCGGAATTTTTCAGAGGCAAGTTACAGAAGGGCGATGCTTGGCAGATCCATGACAGATTGATTTATGGCAGATTATTCACAGCCCAGACTGCTGAGAGCTGAGGCTCTGATTTTGAAATTCTTGAAAATGATCAAGGAATATTTTCAAATGTTGTAGAAATTTGTCAGGTGCTCGCAAATTCAAGAATAACTGTAGTCAGACAGATTTTTACAAAAAACTAAATGTACATAATTTTGAGACCATGAAATTTAATTGAAGGGATATACCGTAACACCTGTATCAGATAAGAGCCTTTCATTGTCCCAAGGAATCTCCAGAGGTCGCTTCAAGTAGAGGGGCCCTTCTAATACAGATTTTGAGATATGCTGAAGATAAAACAATAAATTAGGAATGCACAAGTTTTTGAAGTTCAACCATAATTCGGTTTTCCCGAAACTTCCCTCTATGAACCCCGCTTCAAATTCTTCACTGTAAATTTGTTTAAGTCTAAATTCTCTTTTATTTTTTCAGATTTAGGAAACTTTTTTCTCTTATCAGATCCAAAAAGTTTCTGTAAATATTGATGACCTATCCAAGTGGCTTTTAACATGAAAGAGCGGTTTTGTCTTTTGGCTCATGCCGCCTTGGCGCCAATTACTTTAGTATAACAGTTGTGTTTGCTCCCTTTGTGATTACCGACAAGGTTTTTGACTCATTACAGTAACCCAAAAAAATGATAGAGAAAAAAAGAACAAAGGCTCTTGGTAGATGGAACAAAATTCAAAATTTTGTATACAGTAACCATTATACTTTCTGAAATTTTTCAATTTGCACTGCCTTTCTCATTGTTTCTCATACACAACTATGAGTTAATTGGATCCAATTAACGCGGCACGCTTGACAAAGACCTTCGCAAAAAGTCTCGCCACCCAAAACAATATGCCTTCATCATCAACATCATCTCCTTCAAAAAGCGGGGCCCTCCGTTTTTGCCAATGTGCGATATCTCGCACATCTGACCTCCAAGAGGTTCGACCTTTCCTGTGAACATTTATTCTAGACCCGCCAATACGGGTGGCGGCTGTGATGGTTCCGAAAAACGGAGGAAAACGTCTTGTGATGACCGTCGATTAATAATGAGATCATGGAGGGGACGAGCAGACAGTTAGGCGTCCTCCTGTGAATTACTGTACTGTGTGAATCGAGGAAGAAGGAAAAAGAAAAACAGTGGGTGGGGAGAGTAGAGAATTATTCGTACATGTTCAAATTGATTGCAGCTTATTAGAAATGCGTTTTCTTAATTTTTGTTTCACGGATCGTCAGTCTCAGGAAAATGACAGGGAAAAGAGGAATCTGATGTTTCATATAAATTTTTATGAATACATAGAAGGGGGATTGGAATTGTCAATTATCCTATTTGCTCGAAAGGAAGCCCGCACGTTGAGCTCAATCATCTTGGTTCGACCTAAGAAATATGTCAATTGATAAAACGTTGGTGATATTTTGCTGAATAATTTATCTAATAATAATTTTTGATATCTGTCGAAGCCACCGAGACAATATAGCTCAAAATTTACGTTTATAATGATCTTCAATGAACAGAAATACAGCATGAACAATCTAAGAGGTTTTCTGAACTCACTAAATCAAAACCAAAACAAACATCTTTTCTCACCTAGACGAATCTCTATCTCACCTTCTCCGGTTCGTTTGATAATTTCAGATTGATTCCAATACAATTGGGGTGCCTCTTATTTTTCAGAACTTCAGCAACGTAATCTATTAGGTTGGAAGGAAAGTAACTGTCTTTTTGTTACTCCGTGAATAACACAAAACCAAGATTGACAGTATGCACCGTCGTGGTCCACGACATGCTGACAACATTCAGGTAACTTGTGGATTCCATACCTTCAAAAGCCAGCTGGCTGCGACTCAAAGTATTCCTAAAGTACCGTTTTTATTTCATCGATAGTGTAAAATTATTTTCCCTCCAAATGGCGTTGCATATTTCCGAATAACCAATAATGAAAGGCTCCAGTCTGGAGTTCAAGGAACGTCCCCAAAGCGGCTTAGGACTGAATTGTCTTTCCTTAAATGACGCGATATCCTATGTTCCACGGAAAGTCAAGTAAGACCTGGATCGCTTTAGCTGGACGGTTCTTCTTCACGCCCTCTCAAACACCTGATTTGGCCCTTTCATTATTGGTTATTAAGAGATATACAACGTCATCTGGAGAGATGTAGTTTAACACTGTAGATGAGATAAAATCTGGACTGAAAAAACACTTTGAGTCGCGGCCAGCTGGCTTTCGGAGCGATGGTAACCACAAGTTACCTGAATGTTGTCAGCATGTCGTGGACTACGACGGTGCATATTGTCAATTTTGGATAGTTCTTGTTTTTTTGCTATTCACGGATTAAAAAATGGACAGTTATTTTCCTTCCAACCTAATACTTCCTGAAAATCACACCTCGCTATTACTATTGTTCAAAAAAACCACTAAGTAGGTCCCGTCAATGACGCATTTGAAAACGCAAAAGCGAACTATCGTATCTTCAAACATCTTCTAAAAAATAGCTGTATATTTTCTAACAATTGGCTTAAAAGATATGATGGAAATTCGGAGAAAATATTATTCGAATTTTCCTTTCTTTTGAATTTCCAATTGAATTTTTGAGCTCTCCCTTACTCTTTGTCAAATTTTACATAAACCAGATCCATCGTTTTTCGGTTAATTTATACATGAAAAAACATTATGACCTCCATGCTTCTTTGCTTGCATAATTTCTCGATCAATCCTTGCCAATCCCCTCTGCACAATCCCATTTTCGATGATTTCAATTCCTATTTCTTGGAAGCTCGTTTTCCCGAGCCTCGCCCATTTGAACCGCCGCGACCTCCACCATCATTGAAGCTCCCCAGCAGTACATGGGAAAGATTTAATTAAAGTGCGTGTGGAACAAAAAATACAGAACGGAAGAGCGGAAAAAAGTGTCACGTCTCGAATTTCGCTTTTAATTAGACTTGGTACATTTCTTTTCTGGTTTTTGCACAAATCAAACACGGAGAAGAGGACATCTTTGAGCATTTTGAAGAACACTGAACAGCAAATTCATGATGACAAGTCACGCAATAAAGAATGCAGATTACGGTAGCCAGTGAAAATCTAGATTTTGAACTTTTTTTGTTATATTATTTCAGAAGTCTGGAACGTTCCAGAGAAATGTGAGAAAAAATGTAAAGTATTGCTGTGTTTCGCGGAGCTGAAAATTTTCAGACTCCTAAAATGAAATCTTTCAACGGCTCTTACTCAATAGCTCTCCAAAAATTGTAGCTTGTTGCGGTTAAAGAAAAACCGTTCCAAAATGTTACAATGAAAAACCGTTGGCTATTAAGAGATACGCATTTGCATTCCTCGAAATCCAATTATTCCCTCCCAAACTGACGTCATCAAAATTGAATCCCCTTCCAAAGTCTTCCTTTTCTCAGTCTCTTCTGATTCCAATCTTCTTCGTGTCGCCCACCCCTTCTGTTTCTCCAGGACGCTCCTTATTCTTTTTCTTTTTCTCCTCTTCTTCCAAAATTTCCAGTTCGAACAACGTCGGGCTGCAGAACGGGTGAAAAAACTGGATTGGACAAGTTTGACCGACCGGCCCGCGCGCACATAACTGAGTCTTACATATCCAGATCGATGGCAGATATGTGTTTATTTTTGTGTATTCTTGCCCCCTAGCATCGTTTACTCAATTTTTTAAAAAGTCAGGTGAACTCTTTCGCCCTGGACCATGATCCTTGGCATAGCATCAGAGAACAAAGAAAGATGAAAGGGAAACTGGTGTTTGTTTGTGGGGGCTTTTGGAATGTGAGGATATAAATCAGCTAGGGAAAAAACTCAGCAGTCATTTCCTTTCATCTTTTTTTAAACCGGCACACTGCCTCTTTTTAATGTCTCGCCAGCTATACAAAATGTTTAGGCTCGTGACCTTCTTTTAAATTCACAAAGGGCAAAAGCTCGATTTTATTCAAAGAACAACACAGATAGCAGCAATACAAGTTTGTCGGAGAACAGTAATAATCAATTTTGAGGTAATTAAAATAGTTAATATTTGTGTCATTGAGATATTTGCTGGTAATTATGGGCATAATACATGTTAGTTTACGTAATTTCGTCCGGCTTGGCGACCCGAGTCTAAAAATACTACCGAGAGTTAATACTTTCCCCGTCTAGTCGAGCATCGGCGATTCGATCCATAGAGTTTAGTCGAATCCGTTCGCTAGTCACGTCTGGATCTCGTTCTCGGCGTGGAGATCTGAAAAATTTTCTTAATTTGAGAATCGTTTTCAAGCTATCCAGACCTACCTTCTTCTTTTTGTTTTCCTTCTTTTTAAAACTCCCAAAACTGCAAGCGAAAGGATAAAAAGGGTAACCTGAAAAAAAATCTTTCTGTCCCTCTGTCTCTCTCCTCATCGACACTCTCACCTCCACAATGAAAAGTACCGATGTGACCCAGTTTACAAGCGTGATGTGATGATATAGCCAATCGGCAAACTTCGGGAAGCATCCCTGAAAAATGTTATGTTTCTTATGGTCTTCTGAATTCTCCCACCTCCTGATAGAGTACAGTATCATCATCGGGCATTTTGCCACAGTTCTCCATAGTACTGTTCTCTTGAAAGTGAATCGGTTCACAGCAACTATCCGGAGTGTACTGGTTATTGGGCCAATGAACAGAGTAGTACCAATCGGTGTAGTTGTTCACCCCGCAACATTCTAGCTGAAATTTTGAGGATTGATTGGTGTATTCTTATTAAAGCCTTCTCGACAGGTAAACTTTTCAGTAGTGCACTGTTTTCATTTAAAATTTCATGAACTCTAGAATAATAGTTCTTGGTCCCTTTAAAATAATATGTTGCAATAAAAAAATATGAAAACTCTTCCATTCACTCTGCACCATTTTTTTCGGATTCCGTTTGGAATTTTTCATTGCATTATAATGTGCAGAAAATATATGTAATACCAGTCATTAAGATACAGTAAAAACTGTAATATTACGCTACCTGTAATAGAAGATCCCCTCTAATATAACGCCACCCTCAAGATGTGATTGGAGGTAGCAGAAAAAAATTTTAATGTTTTACTAACAAAGTAGCAGTGGAATCTAGAAATTTCGCACAATTTCTTTCATTTTGGTACATTGCTAATCAAGTAAAAAACTAACTTTTTTCACATCGCATCATCCAAAAATACACCTCCGAAAAATAGAACGCCATGGCGCTATATTACAGGTTTTACGGTATACAAAGTCAAAGGGAGACTGGAGCTTTGCTGGCAAATTTACGACCGACTTGAAAATTTTGGATGGTGTAAAACAGACCTAACCTGAAATTTAACATTTGAAGCGTTTTCGAAACTTTCTAATTTTTCAGCTTTTTGCCGCTTTCTGAGAGATATCGTTCTTACCCAGTTTCTCTTTTACACTCTCCAAAATTTTTCAAAGTTATGGGAAACTTGACAGCCGAGCTTCAGACTCCAGAAAATCGTCTAGATCAACGCAAATGCTATGTTGTCCATCTTATCGACCGGTACCGTAGACTCACATAGTAGCCAAGACAAAGTTCAAAATTGTCCTGACAATCGCTCCATAAAACCAAAAATATGAACTACCGTAGATTCCCGGAAACATCGAGAATATTCTGTTATCTTTTTTTCAGAATTTTCAGTTTTTGCGGGATTTCCAAAGAATAAATCAAGAATTTTGTTTCTACAAATGGACAAGAAATATTGTTCACTTTGTTGGGCCGGTTTCTATAGCTTTGTGTTTTTTTCTGGACATACCTATCATTTTTCGAAACTTTCAAAAAAAAAGAGACGCTCCCACGCTTGTTCGGGTTAGACTATTCTTCAACCATTAATGAGACATGTCGGGTGCTGCCAGGCATACAGTAATCCCGCGCTCAATTTCATTGCTCAATTTTGCTCACCACTCCCTCTTTACCTTTTCGGTTAGACATCCTGCTCAGTCTGAGCCAACTAATCTAACATCGCCTTCGGTTCGTAGTACAGGGATTAGACAACAAATCTTATAAAGCACAATAATTCAGAGGTGCTGCCCGAATTCTAAGTAAGATTACCCAAATCGTAGTAGTCTAGTGTACAAAACTTGTAGTATCTAATTTTCTGAACTTTCCGAAAAGTACACTCCTTTAATTTCAATCACCAATCTGTCCAAAAAGATACAGTAATCTTTTTCGATGTTGTTTGACCTGTGATTTCTATCCCCTCAGCTTTTTTTCAAAACGTCTTATCTGTTCTGAAAATCCGCCTTCAGCATATTTTTCCCCTGCTTTTTTTTCAAAATATGATTTTCAACTATTGAATTTTGTTTGAAATAAAAAACAGTAAAAAAAGCTTCGAAAAAAAATTTCTTTCGCACCTTTTTTTGTTTGCTTCCACATGAAATGCAAACACGGATTGCAAAAAGGCATTATCAACACTAAAAGAAAACAACACCTCTATTTTTTTTTTCATTTTTATCTCCTCTTTGCATTGTTCAACAATTTTGAAATCCCACCTCTCTCTGCAAATGGTCCCAGGTCAATGCAAGTTTGAGCTCTCGGCCAAGTTTGGTGATAACAACAGTAGCGTTGATGTTGCGGAGCATGCTGGTTCTGAGATTTTCTCGAGCTTCATCCTGAAAATGATTTTTTCATTTTTTTAATCGAATTCTCTTCGGTTTTAGCTTTTCACAAGGGAACCTCAACACATTGTTAACCCAAATTTTGATGACGAACTCACGATAGGTAGAGAATAGCCCATCTAGACACCTCTCCAATATTTATTATAGAATTCGCTAGTAAGTTTCAGCCGAGTTGTATCAGTTTCAGTATCAAAATCTCGTTATCAGTGCAAAAACCAAATTTAAAAGAGAAATGAATGAAATTGTATATTTGAGACATATTGACAGAAAATATACTATTATCAATTTTCGAAAAAATCTGGATATAGTCAAAATTCTCGGAATTCGAAAAAAAACATTTTCTGATAAAAATTCCTTGAAAAACAAAATTTGATTCTATTTTATGTATAACGCACCAAATTTCCTATTCTGAAACGCCCTAGAAGTTGAGAAAAACGTTTTTGAAAATTGTCGTTTCTCACTGAAAAGCCGATTTTTTGTACTGAAAGTAATATAACTCGGATGAAACTGGCGAGCGGAACATAACATTTTAAGAGATCAATTATGTCAGCCTATCCTGAGAATTTTATCCATATCTGCGTTTACATCGGGTTGTGGTTCCCTTGTGAGTCCTTGAACTTCTCAAACCCCAAGACTCACCTTATGAAGAAATCCAGTAGTCCTAGCTGTTCCATGAGCTAGTATCAGTAGCAAGATGAACGCAATGTACTGTAAAACACATTCTGTTCAAAAATTGTTCACATGTTTTTGTTGCTCACCGAATAGAAGAGCGGCTTGTTGGTATATGACACTCCAAGATATCCAACAGCAACAATAATACAGATTGTGACGCCGGTGAAGACACACAGTCCGGCAGCTGACAAGGCTGAAAATGCGAAAATTATATACTTTTTGTTTCTTTTTTCTCGCACTTGAATGGTTCCTCCGATTTTTTAATTTCTACTTTTTTTCAATTTCGCCCCTAATTTCAGATCCCTCAAAAAACTATCAGGTTGACAGGTATCCCTTGCAGCTACTCAACACACTCCTATCCTCTTTTCTCGTTTTATGTGAGTTTATTGGCAGAAAAAAGGGACGAGGGACCTCTATTGGAGGCTGGGCTATGCACATAATCGGGGTCACTCTAAGAGACACCTATTATGCAAGCAAATCTTAACGACAGGTGTTTGACTATTCGGCACTATAGATACTCTGGGACGCTTTCAAAAAATAATTGTGATTCTTAAACGACTTTTGTCTATTATTGGGACGTAATAAGGATCATTTTAGAACTTTAAATTGATTTCGAATACTATTCCCCAGGTTTCTTTTCTCTTCCACCCCTCACACCCATTTGCAAACATTAATTTTTTTTTCTTTCTCTTTTTTGCTTGGAGCAGTATCTAGTTTTTTAGTTGATAAGGCTACACTTTCGCATGCGATCGGTCGCTTCTACACGTTTTTCTTTGTTTTCTCTCTTTTCTTTTTATTAGTAATTATGTACATTTTTTTGATTTTTGAAAAAAAAACATTGATTTTTAGGGGAAAACATCATGTGATTAATTTTTTCACCGATAAGAACTATTAGAAAATTTTGAGCTTGAGTAGGTGTTTAAAAAATCAGTATTTGCAAAATTGAGTCATTAGAATTAATTTTGTTTCAAAACTCTCTTAAAAAAGATTTTCTTAAATTCAAAAATTGCCGCTGTACGAATTCTTTATTCTCTTTTCCTATCACGACTGCCCATCAGTTTATCCCAACTTAAAAAATACTCAAAAACCACTTTCAAAGATTCCTAAAATAATCCCCGCCCACTTTTTTTTTGCTTTCGCCGCTTTCTATATAGTTGTGGTGGTCCGTTTGGCCCAATCCAAACGCCCAAGCAATTTTTCATATGTCCACCCCGCAAGATGTGGGCAACAGAGAAACTGTTCAGAAGGAAGCACGGGTTCTGATTAATTATCTGTGCGTGCACTATCTCGTTTTTCTCGATTTGTTCCTGAAAAAATTTAGATATACCTGAGTAGGAGCTAGGCGTGAGTTCCACAAAGTTGTTCTTCGAACTGTAGAGCCATACTCCCACGACAAACGAAGCAAATCCACTGATCTGAAACAAAGAAAAAAAAATATCACGTGGCTTTTTTTTCTGTCTCAGGACCCACCAGAAAGCAAACATTTGTGTAGAAAAAGTAGCTGATTTTTTGATTATCATTCCATATCTTATTGAGATCAATTTTCGCCATGATTTCCTTTGTTTAGTCAACTTCTCCCAGCCGTTTTTGCATTTGATAATCTGTAATTGTTATTCTATTAGTTTATTTGGTGATAAACAAGAAGCGAGAATAGAAAAATAGAAGAAAATAAGGAATATATCTACCACCACATTCTTATCTGCAGCTTTGTGAATAATCCGTTCTCGGCACGGCCTCGATTTTTTTTCTTGCCTTTTTGTCCCCAAGAAAACGATATCTTAGCCCCCTCTCGTCTTATTTCATGGTCATGCCGCCCCTCCTCAATGTTCTGTCTCATTTTTATCGAAGTAGTCATCTTTATTTGACACAACTAACTTGATAACCTCTAAGATCTTTTTTGAGGGAGTGTGGTAGAGACAGCGGGAGGTCATAAAAGTGCAGACTACATTAATTTTTGGTAATATCAGCTAGAAAAATTATTTGGGCTTCTATGGCGAATAAAAAAATGTAAATGTTAGAACGGAAAGAACTTGTGAGAAACACTTCGATCGTCATTTCACTGTATTAAAATTTCTGCTGAGCATGGCAAAATCGATTCCCCCTAATATTGTTGACCATTTGAAAAGAGCCTAAATAGAGAGGTTTTCTTACCTAACAGTATGAACAAAGAGGAGCAGACAGTTTTCGGGTTTAGTCGGGGTTGCGTTCGCAATCGGCCTATCTCTGTCATCTCTCGCATTCCACCATATTAAGGTCGAATCTCTCTCTCTCTCTCTCTCTCTCTCTCTCTCTCTCTCTCTCTCTCTCTCTCCGGAGAATTGAGGTATTGGGCGAGGGTAGGAGGGGTCTCTTCTCTCTAGCTGTGCTGCGCACCGTCATTTACTTTTTTTTCAAACAGTGCACACATACACACCACCACCCCAACGGGCACCACCTCGACGACACAACGCACTTGCCCCAGAGACTCCGCTCATAAAACACACTCACCAACCACACTCATCCCTTCTCACAAAAACCCCCTCACACACGAAAACGCACACACAGACACTCGGCCTTCTTCTTCTTCTTCTTCTTCTTCTCCTTCTTCTTCTTGTTCTTCTTCTTGTTCTTCTTCTTGTTCTTCTTCTTGTTCTTCTTCTTGTTCTTCTTCTTCAACTACTTCTTCGTCCTCTTCTTCTTCTTGTTCTCCACGGCTGGTGGAAGAAGAAGAAGTAGAAAAAGAAGATGTAGAAGAACAGGAGGAAGATGCAAGGAGGTGACATAGGCGATTACCTCACTGTTCTTCTCTTTCTTATTCTTCTTTTTCCTCATTTTGTTCTGCATATTGATTTTTGCCGCCAAAAACTTTTCACATCCCTTTCATCGGAAGAAAGACACCCTCACAATCGGATCGTCGTCTTCCTTTCTCATTTTCTTCATGCGCACTATTCATTCGATAACAGTGTATGCGATGTCCTGTGTCCTCCTTCTAGGAAGTTTTATGTCATCAATCACACGATCAGGCCCCTTACCTGGCTTCTTGATTCTCACTTTTCATCACTTCTTATCATCAATATCACTTTTCATCAGTTTCATTTCTTCTACAGTATCCCTCAGGTCTGATCAGGAGCTCAAAGCTACTGTGAGTAACTCCGAGATCTAGGATCATGTGCTGAGCTCCATGGGCTCTTGATCTTTCCATTAAAGAGTTATGTGGTGAAAACATCTACTTTACACAAGCTGGTTGGGCTCGACCCAGAAATCCACTTCAAGAAAAAAAGGATGCCATAATTTCGTTCGTCTTCTTCTCCATTCTTTTCATCGGCTTCTTCTTCTTCTTCTTTTTCGGTTTTCATTCAACTCCCTGCTTCTCCTCTAAGCCATATAACCCAATCGGTCACATAAATGAGAAGAACGCCTGTTCTTCTTTATTCTTCTTGTCCTCCTCCTCCTGTTGGCCACTCCGCTTCGTCTTCGGGGGTTGTAGTTGGTTAGCCGTCCTCCTTCTTCTTCTTCCATTGCCTATTCTCTTCCTAGACCCCACTCCTCTACACAAACCGCTCATCTCTCTGTCTCTTCACTAACCCCCCCCCCCCCGGCCGGTCCGCGCTCCGTGGGGCCCTCCTATTGCCCTCTCTTTGCCCCGGCTGTTTCTCCTTCGGGTTTTTCGCGTTTTCTATCATTTTGCCGTCGTGTGTCCCCACCCGAACCACCAATCCGAACTCTTTTGTGTTGAGGCTCCACGAAAAACTCAATAGTATAATATTTGTAGGGTCAATCATGTCGACGAGTTTCCCGAATAGTAATGGGAGCGTGCCGCCGTACAATCCTCAAGCGAACGGTTCATTCAATCAGTATGGTGGAGCTCCAGGTGGTGGATATCCGGGAATGGATCCTTATGTAAGTTTTGCATGGTTCCATTTATCGAGTGACAAAATCTGCAGATGAGGATCTAGCTTACTTTATATTAACGTTATAGGTGTTCTACCTTTAGTAATTCTGGCTTCTGGAGCGCAAGGCTCTGGAGCTTGAGGCTGCAAAGCTCATGTTTCCGAAGCTGAAGGTTCTGCAGCTCAGATTTGGCTGTCAATGCCCCGGAGCCCAGGGATTTGAAGCTCAAGGTTTTGGAGCTGGAGATCTGGCTTTCAAGGCTCTGGAGCTCCAGCATTTTGGAGCTCAACGTTCTGGAGCTCAAGGCTTTGGAGCTCATGGTTTTGGAGCTCAATGCTTCGGAGCTCAAGGGTTTGGAGCTAAACGTTCTAGAGCTCAAGACTTTGCAGCTTCAGCTTCAGTTTCGGCGTAGAGTTCTAGCTTCTAGTTCAGATTGAGTCTTAACCTTAAATACTAAGATTCGGCATTAGCTTTTGAACTCGAGCTTTTAAAATTTAGCTTCTGAAGCTTGAGTTACAACTTTGGGGTCTAGGATCTAGGCGCTAGAAAAAAAAAAGAATCAATAGTTTCTAGCTGTTTCATTTCTGAGCGTCACAGTCTCTTCTCCAGCTCGGTTTTTGGTTGATGAACTTTACGAATTTTTAGACCATTAACTAGAGATCTAGGTTCACTTGTTTAAAATTCAGCTATGTGATGTTTAGTTGTAAATGTTTAGCTGATGCTCCAAGCTTCATCAGTTTCAGAAAGTTCGCGAGTTTCAGCATGAGAAGTTTGGCTATGTCTTTGGCTCCCGCTCTAAACTCTAGATTCGGTTCTAAAATACTTAGCTCAGCCTCTAGTGTACTAGTTCGAACATTCAAGAGCGCTTCAGAAATTCTACCGACCTTCACAAAAAACCCGTCTAATTACAGAACATCTACGCTCAACCACCCAATGGTTATGGTGGTATGCCACCTGCCCCTCCGAACATGGGAGGCGCCGCTCCACCAGCTGCACCACCGGCGTCTTCATCAAAAGCAGCACAACAACCACAACTTCCAGTACCTCAACAGTATCCACCTGCAGGCACAAAGCTTCCCGCCTATGACGCCAATTCAATGCAGAATGGGTAAACAGCATTCTTGTAATTATATGCATTTTAAAACATCTCTTCTCTTCAGGTATATGAATTACCCAGGGCATCAGCCACGGCCCAATGGACAGCCAGCTCAGGAAGGACCGCCACCCAACTACAGTGTTCAACAGAATATAAATCCTTCGCAACCACACAATCCATATGCTCCGGTTCCTGATCCTTATCGTATGTACAATGGGATGCCAGCAGATCCCCTGCCGGCGCCCTCTACTCAGAACGCAACAACACCTGCGACGTCAGCTTCGGCGAACAGTTTTGCTGCTCAGCCAACAGCTCCAACGTCACAGGCGCCCACCAACCCATACCCAACACAACAGCCTCTTCCAGCTCATCTTCACGGAGGAGCACCTCCTTATCAAGGAATGCCACCAAGTACTCCACTTCAACACTATCAACCACCTGGATACACTAATGGATCGTCTACTACGTCAACGCCGGCAAGACCTCCTGGAACCCAAGCATTTCCACCATTGCAACCTTCCAAGCAAGCAAAGCAAGACGAGTCTCGTCCCAACAACCCGGCTGCCGGATCGACACCGAACTATCCATATGGATTCAATCCGTTTCAAGGTGGACCTAACGGATATCCATCATACGGGCCTTCCCATATGAATGGTGGTAACGCGACACCTGGAGCTCACGGACAACACTTTGGATTTAACCCATCGCTTTATAGTAACCAAGGGCAGGGTCCATCAACATCAAATAGTGCTTCTGGACCAAACACGCAGCCGCATCAACCTCCATCACAAACTCCGGAACGCAGAACACCAAATCAATCTACTCCGACTACTCCAATTGTTCCAATCAGCAACCCATATGCATCTGTCGGAGGCGCTGCCCAGGGACAGTTCCCGGACCCTTCTGCAAATTATGGAGGTATGAGCCATTCAGCCAACCCAGCTGGTCGAGCAACGCCAGGAACACCATCAACACCGACTACTCCTGGCTCGCACCATGGAACTCCGGGCCAACAGAGGACGCCGCAGAATAACATGCCACCGCCACTGTACAACCAGAATACGATGACATCTCCGAGCCATGGACCAAATGGAACAACACCTCAGAAGCAGCATCCAAGTCCCATGGGATCATCGTTGCCGCCGTTGAATGGACATGTGAGTTACTTCTAGGTTTAGCACAACTATCCCGACAGTTTGAAGAAATCAATCGCGCGTTATAGTTTTATTGAATATGTGACGAGCCGCTTCGCGTGACCTTCGCGGCGCGTGTCCCCCCCCCGGGAAGAGGACAATCGGGGATGCAGAAAATAAAGCAAAAAAAATAAACGAAGGAAAGGAGAATGCGTTTGCAGGCAGCTTGTTGGAGACGGGACGGGAAAGAATAATCATCAAAAATGAGATTGATAAATTTCCGGTTCCAAATTTTAAGAAGGAAGGTACCAAATGGAAATTGTCTTTAATTATGGAATAGAAGACGTCGTTAGAGCAAACTTCCAGTAAAATTAGAATTTACCGTAAAACCTCTAATAGAACGACACCCGGATCGTCCACTTTGAGCCTATATATCTCATTTCTGCAAAAGATATCAAAAAGTGGTAACTAGTAAAATGTTGC